ATATTTTATTGCTCGGTGAACGAATAAAACAGAGGGAAATAACTTTTTCCTAGTACAATATTTTAGGGAAAAGAACTTTGGGGTCTCCACCATAGGCCGTTAATCTTTTTGTTACTTACTTGCGTCGTCGAGGACTTCAGAAAAAAAAAACCGTATAAAATAAAACGATCTTCGCTATTCACACGCAATCTAACTCTATCATCGAAGCCTTCTCTTTTTATTATTATTATTTTTTTATTGTCAAATCGTATAATATAAATGCAAAAGTATCCTGCCGAGTTTCCGACAATAGGCGGCGAGCCACGTACGTGTAGGTTATACCTACCTATCTTGTCAGCTGCTGGCTGTTTTTTTGCAAAATCATATTCCTGGTTAAACGCCCAAGCACGGTGGGAACAAAATAGGATGTCATCCATTAGTCCCCTTTAAAAAACGTAAAAAAATTATCCCGGTCCCAGGATATTATGCCGAGCGAAAAAAACCTCTCGTTTATATAGCTTTTAACCTGTTCAATTGATCTCCCCATGTGTCTGCGCTTCGCACAAATATATATATATATAGGTATACATAATATAATAATGAGGATATCAAACTGCCGAAGGGGACTGCTATTACAGTGCGTGGTATACGGCGTTAGTGTGTACGAGTGTGCGTGTGTACGGTTATTAACAGTTTCCACCGCAAATAATATTTACCCGTTTTACGGAAACCCTCGTGCAGAAATATTCGGACGAAAAAATATAAAATATACGATATGGGGGGAGACAAGTGTGACACAGGGGTCGAGGGGCTTTTTTTCGGACGCTATAGCACGAACCCCCGGCGCAAAGGCACGCACGCATACACGAACGCGGATTAAGACGGTAATGACGGGAACGAAATAACCGAAACACTCGACATTTTTTCATCGTTTTTTTTTTTTATCATCCTTCCGGGTGTCACATTACCAACGCATTGTGCTCCACTTTTACGGGTCCCTGGGTCACAATGGGAAACGGATTGAACCCGTCCACGCGAACCGCTGCAGCGGGGCGAAATGCAGATCACGAGAGCAATATAATGTTATATTATTAGGTACAGGCGTTTATTGTATACACAATATGGATATTATTGTATCATATAATATAAAATATATCGACTATTGTACGTAAATAATATTATATAGAGTATATTTTTTATGCAAGCGTTATTTTATTATTATTGTTTTGGGAGAGAAATAATGGTTCCAATATATTAAATGGGCGAGTAAAAAAATAAAAATAAAAAAAACCTATAAATTAGTCAAATATGAAATATTCCAGTAGTGGAAACTACTTTTTAATTTAACATGTAAATGCGTATCCGGAGCCCCCGTTTGCGACTTCTCACGCGATATAGCAATTTCGGGGGCAATATATATACATATTATTACCTATATTATTTTTTCAAAAACGTCGAAAATAAAAACATTAACCTGGCGATTACCAACCGTGATCCGTGTCGACGAGATTAACGCTTTATACTGACTAAACGACGGTTACTTGACGACGATAATGGGCGTATTTACATAAAACGCTATATATATACACCTATATAGTATATACGACTGGTCAAACAACACGGAAAACGACATAACAAATTTTCAGGAATTTCTATGGTAAATGGTAATAACAATATTTCGAATACAAACCATTATAATTTACACGAAATATAATAAATTATGGTATGCACACATAAAAAGTAAATTGGTTGCAAAACCAATCGATAAAATTCTACTCCTCGTTCGAATGAAAAACGAATTCACACCGGTAAATTTCACGAAAGCGAAAAACGATGACCGTCATTGACGAATAAAAGGTCGGCCCTTCAGACGGTCTTGTGACGAAGTAATTTCGGAAAAAATATAGAGTTCTACGGTGTTAAATTACCTATGCTAATATGGCTATATAGCTGATCGCAATTTATTATGATAGATTTTATTTTTGAACCCAAAATTGTAGTTTGTACATGATAAATGTAGGTATAACGTATTATTATAGTATACACACATAAAAATCGTTAGTTGTTTTAACTCCAAATGTAGTTAATGTCCAATACATTTGAGCGTCGATTTTGACTTAGGACTCAATAAGTGTTGATTTAACTATTATTCAATGTAATTAAAATGACTTAGAATATATTGTTAGGATAATTACATTATTATGCTATATTAACATATCATAACGTAGTGAGATTAACTTTCGTAATGTTGTGAATTGAGTTTTTAAATTCGTTTCAAATTAAAAAAAACGTTGTAGTTGAAATTACCCCAAGAAGTGGTTAAAATTGAGATTTTAAAATGGTTTTAAATTGAGATTTTGCAGTAGTTAAAATAACTCCAAGATACGGAACAATGGTGTTAAAAATAATAATAAAAACAAAAATAAATGGCCCCCATGAGGGATTCGAACCCGAGACCTTTGTATTCTTTTGGTTTACAAATCTAACGCCTAAACCTACCTACCTAACGGGACTACGTACAAACAGTGATAAAATATACCATTTAGGTAAAGAAATTTTGTAAGCTAATGTAGGCTTTAGTAGTTTACCCACTGTTTGCGGAGAAAAGTAAAACCATCATGCATTTAAATTTTTAAGTACCTACTATAAGCATACGGCCAGAGTTCAGGGGAGTACTATTATTATTAATATTTTTTTTATTGGAGGGGGGGGAATTAAATAATAATTATTTTTTCTTAACTATTTAAAACTAAAAGTTATAAATTTAGAACATCACTTCATAAGTAGGCCCACAATTATAATTCTTTGTATACTTGTAACAGGCCGGGCGTAATTAAGGGCGTAATTATATATTATTTTATATACTTCACCAATGTACTTGACAATTTAATATTTTGTGTGTAAAAAATGTATACCCCCCCCCCCACAGGGCAAATTCCTAATTATACCACTGCTTGTGAATACTTGTTTTAGGAGAAAATAAAGATGGATAAAAATTGGAGTATAGTTTTATTGAACTAGATTGATCAGTATACTTCACACTATTGTAGGTACCTATGCATAAAACATAATAATAATTTAATAATTATTTATATAAATTATTAGGTACCTATCCGTATACTCATATCTATACATTATATAAATGGAAAATCAATTGTATATTAATAAATAATTATTTTTATTTTTATAAACATCAAAACATAAATTAGATATAAATAAAATAATTATAATGAACTGTATATAATAATATAGGTAGGTACATAAAACTTAGGACATCACAATATGTTCACATTATAATGTTTTACATAGGTAGGTACTAGGTAGATATTATTTACATTTATTTACTAACAGTATTTGGTGAGCTACATAATATACCTAGTTATCTTAATAAAACATATGTTTTATTATTACCTATTGTTTTAGCACCAGTAGGAAATGGATAGTCAAGCTCATTGATATAATACCCTATTTTATCAATATTTGAATGGTCAAAATTTACTTCATGTACATGAAAATGGCTGTCAATTGTCAAACCCTATCGATATTAATGGTTTGATTATAAAATATGGCACTCTAGACTTACCAACAAGTATTTTATCTATTTCTCGCATGCGGACGATTTTCGGGTTTTTTCGGCGTTGTAAAAATAACATACTGAATGGTTAATTTTAACACTATTTTGGAGTAGAAACAACAACAAAATTAGTTCATAATGAATCGAGCTTATGTTTTAAAACAACATTCTCTATTTTATCAATTTAACTACCGGTATTAGATTATATTGAATACCTACAACTTCCTAAATTCAACTAATTTTGGGTGTTATTATGACTTATTATCATTTCTCAATGATATGCGTTGAGCCAACATATTATTGTGGTTAATATAAATGACTATGCAGTTGATTCAACTAATGGGTGTTGAACATTGTAGTTTGAAGTTAAATCGCCTACATTATTTTTATGTGTGTACCTACGGGCTATATATAGGTTCTATTGCGGCGTTATAATAACACGGTCGGACAATTGAATATGTGCGTGCGTACAATTTCTGATATTGAACGATAGCCCTATAGGTGAGCTATACTGTTATCTCGGTAATCTCTAGAGTCAACTACCTATATATCGCATTATTTGCGTATTACTAGCGTCAGACAACTACAGCAGTAGAGTCGCGTCTTCGTCACGTTCGTCGTTCTAGATACGTCAAACAGACACTCCGGGGATTTTCGACGTTGGATTTTTTTTTTGTGACTTCTAGCACGATTTCTTGTGAAAAAATATATTCACTTCACGATTTCCGCCAAAAGAAAGAGAATAAAAATGATAAACGTGTGTGTTATTCAAAGACGATAAATAATAAAAACGAATGATAATAATATACGTGTATAATACTCACATAAATATATTACATTATTATTATTATTATTATATTGTAATAATATGTGAACCACATTTTCATTACGCATAATAAACATGCTGGTGTGTGCTACTGACGCCCGTGGCGTTCCTTCCACAACGCCGATACAAATATGAAATAAAAAATATTAAATGTATGTGTATACAAAATGCTTATCTTACGCCAACTGACAGGTTCACAAAAATTGCCCCAAAGGCGTGTCGTAGTCGTCGGTTTCTATACTTACATAGTATCGCCGGGCGATAGAGAGCACGATTTTTCACCTCCTTTATTTTTTGCTCCGGTTTCGTGTTTACCTTATTTCACGTCCGTCTGTGACACAATGACTAATGTGTTGATTATGTAAATATGCATGTATACCTCTACGCTTATACTCACACACGGCAGCAACTGCATTATTATTATTATACTATGTATATTGTATATGTATAGTCTTTTCGGGGGTACCTATTTGTGTTAACGCTCCCGAACGCGCACGACAAAAATATATAATATACGTTTACTATTCGACTTAAGCGATACCGCCGATACCTGAAGATGTCTTTGTAGTATTACATATTATTATAGATTTTTTGTTTTAACAACATTTTATTTTACTGCAGGTCGTATATTGGAATCACTGGCTGCCAGAGGTGTGGGTCTGTATCCGGCCCTGGGTTTGCCACTGCTCGCGGCCCAACAACACAAACCGGCTAGTGTCTCGTCGGCCAGTCCCAGGTCCAGCCCGGCGAATTCAGCTCCATCTTCGCCAACGCAAAAGGTAATGATTATTTATTTGCAACATATAACACACAATTGTATTGCGATTGGTTGAAAGTTATACGCGATATGCCTTCCCAGAGTACCCACACTATGTCACTATGTAATACTTATAATATTGCGTTTAAATGTATAAATATAAATTAATAAATCGAAAAAAAATTGTCGACCCAAGTCTTGGTTACCTATGTGCATACACCATCCGCAAGTTCCATTTCACCATATGCAGCATATTGTATTAGATGATATAGCACGCAGTAGTGCACAAATGCATTTTCGTAGGGTAGTGTTTTCTATATTATTGCATTATAGATAAAAGTCTATATATAATATATATATATGTGTAGTATATCTCCCAGATGTGTGTAAGTATTATATATTTATATACATCGAGAATCGCTGATCTTGGTTTCCGCGTGTCAAAACGTATTATCTAGTCAATCGATAGTTTTTTGTTTTTTCCTCATAAACTTTCCAAGTTTAAGTACTCTGTTCATTTATAAGTACGTCAACACATATGAATTTTCACAAAAAGTTGTGTCTCTTACGCATCCAAACACATACACATAAGTGCGTATTGTAAATGCACAAATATATAAACAAAATAAAAAGAAATGAAGTTGCAGCGCTTCAACCATGTTGTTGAAAATTGACTAATGCAAAAATGATTATTACCCCCTGCACGTTACGGTATACGGTATCATAAAATCGCGAGCTCAAGACAACAAGTCGCCACCGTCCCCTCCCGCGCTGCACCCAAAACACTCGCGATAAGGTCGTTGCCGCAAGTCCATGAGCTCGTTACCCCGATATATTGAATACGCGGTGCATCCATGGATAAACGCAAAAAATATTCTACCCGAGTTCACCACAAATCCAATATAATATACGTGTGTGGTGTGAGTATTTATGTGTACAAAGAGTTTATTGATCTTACATATGTATAGTGTACGGGCGTTTACCGGGCTATATATGCACAATACAGTTATGACTTGTACACATAATAATTTATATGATATCTATAGTACCTACACTATATTATAAGTTATAACGACGATAATGACAATATATTGTATTGTGTGCGGTGCGAGGCGTGTCATATGCAGCCCGACTAAGGAACTTCGAAAATCGGTCGGGATGTCGGGGAATACGCGCTAAAGAGGTTCAAGGGAAAAAAAAAGTCACAAAATAATTACGATGTAATTATCATATAATTACCCCGCCGATGCGATGTAACGATGACGGTGATGCCTCGGGAATTCGATAATGTGTGCCAGTGTAGAACATTATTATTTATAATAAGAGACCGAAAAATATACAGAAAAAATGAGTGTGAGCGCTCTTAAGGATCGGCCAACATTAGACAAGGCGTATATTTATATATATATATTTCTGTATAAGACAGTATTATTATTATTATTAATATATATATATATATATATTTAGTACGACGAGAGCCATTAAACGTTTCGGTATTGTGTGCAAATCGGGTCTAGAAAGCCAACGGAGAATAATGGGTGTGTCGTACATATTTTTATGTTTGTGAATATAAATGCGTATGAAAAAAAAAGAAAAATTAAATATTAAATATTAAAAAATAGTGTGATTGTTGTATAGGTTAGCCTACAACCGTGCGTGAATATTAATGCGGTACTTTGCGCTAGCTTATAATATATACGTATAAGTATACCGTATACGTATACGGTTATATGAGTTCGGAATCGACAATATATAATAATAATAATGTAAAATGACGTGTGTTTAGGTCGATCGCATCATCATCGGTGCCCATTTTATTTAAACACACACACACACACAAACATAATATATGGACACACAGAGATACCTATATTATATCGCACGAAAATTATTAGAAATTTAATCGCCGTCGATTTAACGACGATTTTTACCGATTTGCTAATCATCGCCCGTTCGATGCGTATATAATAATATTGTATTGTAATGACGACGACGATAATAAATTAATAACAATAATTATAATCATTGGTATTAACGTTATTGGTTATTACATTGCACCCTCGACACGGCTAATCGAATTAAGATTTACCTATTATTCTAGGAGAAACACGCGCATAAGTTACGATAGAACACGATGGAAACACGGTGGGTAATTATATTATTACTCTGTCGCGTAATTGCGAATTTTATCGGTTATTTAGTACGCATGTCTGTCTACGTACGACGTAAGTATACTTTGTATATTGTGGATGTAGATACACAAGTCGATATACTAATGCTTACGGTTTTCGTCGTATATTCACGCGCATCATAATCACAAACGTGATATAAATCTCGCCGTGACGGTGTATTATAAATATTATATAGTCGTCGTCGACTTCATTTCTCTGCCACACGCCGTACGCTCGCATAATAATCAGAAACAAAATAGATATCGTCGTCGTCCGTCTATTATAACTCCTGATAAATAATAATAATAATAAACACACATATTATACGACATTATAATAATAATATGTGTAGAAAAAATATGGAAAATGTTTGTCTTGGAGTTGGTTTTTTTTTTGTCCTCCAACCGGCTTCCATCACGAAATTTCTCGCGAAATTTCAATTTATCACCCATAAAATTATCACAGCGATCCGTCGTTGACTGAATAACACAAAATATAATAATATACTAGTCCACCGAGCCATTTATTGCACAACGATGAATATTATTTACGTGCGAAATATACGTATACGCACATATAACACCACCACGAGGGTCATGGCGCGCGTAAATTTATTTCGGAATAATTTTTTCGCGAATAATGATGCAAATCTTCGGGATCTATGGCTGGCGGGGTCTTTAAGCAGCCGAGAAGGCGGCGGTTGTGGTGGACCGGAGGAGAGCGACGAATACACCGCGCGGAATAATAAAAAAGCGTATAATACGAAGTGAACAAAAAAAGAGCTAAATAAATAATATAAGAATAATAATAATAATAATAATGAAAAAAACCGCACATTATACGTAGGTAATATACCTGTAGACTGTCTAATGCACAATGAGATTTTTAGCGTTTTCGAAGGGCATTTGCACGAACAGTAGTTTTTGTCTTCTGATATTTTCTGCAATGATTTCAGACTGGACTCTAGCCCTATAATATTATGTACTACTGTTGCAAGACATAAATATTATACATAGGACTCAGCTGTGCTCGATCGCAAATAACACGAGAACGTGTATATTCCGCACAAGTGTATGAAAAATTAGGAATTATTTTCCGCCCACGCTTATGGTATGTTATACCTACACAGGATATCCGTTTTCGTTCGTTTATGCGTATTATATTATAGTGTATAATATGTGAGTGCCCGCGAAAAATTCTTCTTAAGATTTCTCAAGTCATCTACACCGATAGGCAATACCACTTACACGCACAAATATAGCTGGATTACCCTTGTCACGGTTTATGATTTACACTGTCATGAATATCAGAAAGTATTTGTAATATTAATTTTTCCGGCTTGAGGGTATAATAGGATTCCTCCCTACTAATGGGAGGGGAGGGGGAGAGCAGGAGGTTTTGTTTCAACAATAAAGTACATAAGTACCTATATCTATATGTACCTATACTCAGATCACTATCGTGATGTGTACGTGCGTGTGTGCTATCAAAACCGGAACGGAATCGAAATATCGTTATGATTTCGTTTCCCCTCTTTACATATTATTATTATAATATAATATTCGTTTAACCTGCTTTTAATTATTGCCACGATAACTATCGCGTGTTCTTGTCCGATACAACATTATCGCTTATTCATGTACCTATGCATATAATGGACAATTAATGATGTGCTCTTAATATATATATTATAAACGTACACTGTACACATAGGAACACATTTTATGTACATACCAATCTCGTTCCGGCCGGCTGACCAAAGCGTCGGATACTCGGATCTACTGCGTTGGTATACTGAAAAAAATTACACGTGTTTCGTACGTTTATCTTTTAAACAGTACATTAAACGTTGTATGTTATGTATATTATATATATGGATACCCCGACGAAACGATTTAAATTAGCAAATTATATGCGTCTGAAACAATGAGCGATTTAAACCATCATTTACGGGCGGTTTATATTGCTTCTAATTTGTGTCGTTTTTATTTTTTTGTGGGAGCATCTCGTATATATTACCGGAACAGACGATAGGTATTAATAAGGTTACATACGCTTTTCGTGCTGCGACATTTCCGTACAGCCAAGTCAATATATTAATGTATACGTCATACTCGAATAAAAATCTCTAGTTTTAAACGCGTCCTATACCTAGGCGGAGAATATTGTTAGATGGCGACGAAAAACGCACAAAAATCCGATAAACAATATAAACAGTCGCAGTCGTTATTTTATTTATATTATTATCGTATTGAGGAGCGTGCAGTCGTTAAATTCATACATACGGCAAATTTAAAATTTTATAGTACGAATAGTTATAATATATTTATATATGTATAGGAACACAGTGACGGAAGCGGAATAGAGGATGCAACTTTTGGGCAAAATTCTGGTGTTGATATTTTCAACGGTTCTCACGAGCTGATCATTTCGAGACTAAGTCAAAAATTAGGAATAATATATATAAAATCAACGGTCAACCAAAATCAGCTTATTCTTTAATAGTTTCTATGAGACTCGTCTACATTATAGCCGCACGATTCGAGATACCGATCGAGGGTTATTGATTTCATTACGCGTAATACCATCGACGTTTTCCGTCATATTAGTGAACTATGCGGTTTATCGCGATCGCTTTCCGTTCGATAGGCGTGCAGGGTAACGTTCATGTTATACGATCCGTCACGTGTCTACAGTTTTAGGCGCTTACATCAATTATAGGCACAATGATGGTAAAATATATTATGATATTATATACTGTTGTCTGCCACTATATATTATTATATCGCAGCCAAGTCGGCGAATATCCGACAAGAGATTGACATTTGACCTGGAGTTTTTCGCCAATGATAATGATATAGGTATGCCCAATAATACTACAGACGCGTATAATATTCAAAAACTACCGCCAACTGGTGTCGGTGCCGTTAGCGTGGTCAGTTCGACGTCTATCAATAAGGCCGCACGCACTTTCTAATTATATTTTGTTCGGTTGGGGGGAAAATATTATGGTAATAATGAAATAAAATAAATAACTATATGTCGCGAAGCTTACGCATGTGTTTAGCATATAGTATTGGTAAAAAAATATCTAAATACCTATGCCTAGACCTACCTAAATAATATATATTATTATTATTATATTACACCAGTACTGGTTTTAAAAACGAGCGCAATATATTTCTCGTGATATATTTCGCATAACTACCGGTTCCGACAGCCACTGATCTGTCGGTGGAGGAACGACTATAATACAGCTGTGTACCTTGTAATATACGTACAATCGTACAAATAGTATCGATGTGGCGTCTGAAAATTGCAAGTTTGCAACCGTTCGCCTGCGCGATGATCTGTAAGACGTCCTAAGGTACCTATACTACCTAACATATTATATCGCATATAGGTTATATGTACCATCAAAATTTTATAATATTAAGTCGTAGGAGAGTAGAGCAAAAATCCTCTTTTGAACGATTTTATAATGCGATTTTTTTATAAAATATTTATTATATTTACCCATCTAGAGCTGCAGTCGTATAGTATATAATTAAATATATAATACTATTAATATAATTAAACTTTACTATTAAAATAATATAATTATTACACTTAACGAAAGCGTCACTGACATTTAGGTATAGTAGGTATATTTTATAATAGATACGATTTATCAGTTTATCACACACATTATAGTATTATACACAGGACTGCAGTCATGCAGGGTAGATGAAAACGTCTAGATTTCGAAATTAATTTTCCCTCTGTGTATACATAAAATGTCAAAATATTCCGACTATGTGTTATCGCACATGTATTATTTCAATTTTCGAATTTCCAAACAAACAGCTTTCTGTGTTACGGTATTTATGTTTTTTTTTATGCATAAGGAATATGGATAGGCGAATTAGCAGGATTCTGTTTTTATTTAGTATACCGTGTAATATACAAGATTAATATTCTTGGTAAATATTTGTTGACAACTGAAGTCATAATAATGTTTGAATCAGCTGATTTGCCGAACGCTACAGCAGCTCTAACAATAGCTTTGGCCGTCATCGATCCCCCGGTATTATTATTATAAAATATGTTTTAATTAAAAACAATGAAAAAAAAAATTATTAGTGCGTTCTCCGAAAGCCGCTATTGTTTTCAAAAAGTCAAACTATTCGTATAACATATTATGTATGTGTATAAATCAAAACGTCGTCAGTCGCTACAGCGACGCGTGATAAACGCGCGTGCGCGCACGTTTGTATAAATCTCACATTTTCGCAATACGTGTAAAAATTGCGATTCGGATTTCGCGAAAATCCTTGATCTACACGCGCGCGCTACTTCTGCTGCTTTTCTGTTACATGTACACGTATGTATATATATTGGTTACGTGAACAATGGACATGACCTTAAACAGAGGAAGGATACAATTTAAAAGGAGAAACGAAAAATAAAAATCACACACAAACACACACACTGAGACAGTATACCACGCGCGACAACAACGTTTACAATTCGGAAATTTAAATCAGCAGCGCAACACTCCACACCCTCCCCCCCTCACCTTAGACGGTCACAAGTCTGTATAATATTTGCGAAATCGCATAAACAAATTGGGAAAAAACGCGTCAACATGAGGACATGTGCGGGGCGAAGAGTGATGGGAGGGTGCGGGGAGGTCCTACCTAGTGTATACCTATATATTATATTATAATACAATTTCTGCACGCCAAAAAAAGGAATAATAACCTCGGCCTATCTTTTATTAGAATCTGCAATTATTCAAGTACATCCGCGTTTTGGAATCGAAATTCGCCTTGTAATAATAGGCGAATTTTTTTTTATTATTATTATTCCTTCACATATTATATCGAATCTCCCCCGTGGTTCCAGATTTATTATTACTCTCTTTTTTTTCTTCTGTTTTTGCTCGTTTCACAGCACCGCGAGTAGTATTATAGTGTGTGTAATGTGTATGCAGCGCACTCCTGCTCAGTCTCCGTTCGTTTATTGTCTCTTACATAATATAGATGCTTAAATATACCTATATATAGGTATTCGTATACAATGCTAAAAATAATAATAAAATAAAAAAACATAATATATAATAAATATTCTATGCTTAGCATACCAATACGCATCGACGGATTTCAGTTCCCCTCGGGTGTATAAAATTCAAATTGTCTTGGTGGCGTCTTCTCCACGACAAAAAGAACATTACCCCTTTTTTGCGCAAATGAATCATAATTTACAATTGTTTAGGTACCTACGTAGGTAGATAGGCTGCAGGTGATGTTTATAAGCGGAAAAATTAGTAGTTGTTACTTTTTCTTCCTTTCCACGAGACCTATGGGAATGCATAACTTAAAATGTAATTCCTCTAAGTATATATGCGCATAATAATAATTATTATTATTCACCCCCGAAATTCAAACACCAAAGATTTATTATTTTCTTGCATCCAATTTCAACGTAATTATTATTACAATACCACTGCCGCAAAAAATTCTCTCTCTCTCTCTATCTCTCTCTGTCTCTATAGTCTCCTCCCGTCGACATCGCCGGCCGTCCCCGTGTGAATCGTATGCAAATGATATCGTTATGCCGAGCACATGCTGTGTGTGTGTGTGTGTATGTTTTGCCGCCGCATCGTGTAGGTATATAATGTGTATATAACTGCCGTACGTCACGAACGTCGTTGCCGGCCATTGTTGTTAAAATAAGGAACGACGATTGCACAATCTCGTAACGATATTCGCATTCGGTTCTTATAACCGAGTGAAATGCGAAAAATTCAATCCACGCATAAATGCTGGCTACTATATTATTATAATACTATGTAGGTACGGGAGATGTTCGCACATAACACAATTTTGTTCAATTATACATATAAGATACACATTCCGATTTTATACAAGGAAGAACTACTAAAATCATTTGTACGATGATTATTTATTTATTTTCACCTACCTATTACATATGTCATATGTGTGTACTCACACTTGGCAGTTGACACGCGCCAGTTTAATACCTAATAATAATATAATATAGTTAAAGTCAGTGTTGCGTAGAGAGTATGCAACGGACGTGACGAGCGTCTGTGTCTATGAAAAATTCTATATTATCTCATCATAAACGGTGCAATAATATTATATAATAATATAAAACGATTTCTTTCTGGTATCATGGTTATTATAACTTCCGTCTAAGATTAGTTCTGAGAAAATATTATAGATACCTACACGAATGATCATAGGTATACTCTATTGTTTGATTGTTAAAACTGCACAATCATAATGTGACGATAAATTAACAACACATATAATTTATCATCTTCTTTTTGATTATAACAACTTTACTTGTTAAATATATTTAAAATTACAGAAGAACCATCATATTAATAGAATAAGATATAGGCAAGGTAATATAAATATATACCTACAACACGCTCCACTGCTCGACGAAAAATATGATTTGAATAACGCTGTGTTTATGTATACACGCGCGCTCGCACTCATGTGTATAAATATATTTTATATACAGTTAAGTACCTACGTGTATTTAACTGTGAAGGATTATTAATTGAAGTTTTGTATTCTGCGTATGTATATATTAAAATTGTATGCCACATTTATAACGCCAAACGATATCATAATCATCATTGGGATTTATAAATCTAAGTAATATTGTTAGTAAAACAATTTTTGTTTTTCCTTTTACAGCACGTCTCACCGTCTGTCATCGTACCCTTGCCGCCGATACACAGGGACACGACCGGTACCACAGCTGCGATGACGTCACTAGGCATTCAGACCCTGTCACCGCACTCGGCAGTCACCACTCCGCTCACGGTGCCGACGCCGACCTACGCCAATGCCCAAGGTCAGTAAATTGGAAAAAAATAAAAATAAAACATTATATATATATATTATATGAATAAAACCTCTTCGTGCGTTGCGCATAGTATATATTATAATATATATGTGCGTCACATATTACATATGCAAGGGTTGAGCGTAAAACAATTTGTTGGTTGGGTTTTTCTTTTTTGGCAAACGCAACGAAGCCCATAACCTCGATACCGGTATATACCATCACCACTACCATCACTACCTCCCTCCCCTCGCCCCCTTTTACTCGTTCCTCTCCCCAACCCTTGACCATCTATTTCGGTGCACGGGTGCACAGGCGAGTGAGACGAACAAATGCGTGAATTTTCTCTTTCTCTCTCTCTCTCTCTCTCTCTCTCTCTCTCTCTCTCTCTCTCTCTTCGTTTGCTGTCCGGTGGTATTTGTGTCAAGCGATCGGCCAAAAGCCGCCTATCCCAAATGTCGTGTTTTCCGAACAATGCGGGAAATGCACAACCGCTGGCCGCATGTGAAGGTCAAATACCGGACCGCCTTTACGCTCTTTTATTCAAAAATAAATCCCAAAAGATCGATGAACCCGTTCGAGGAATCCGTCCACGTTGCGGTTTTTTAACGCGGTTTCTTTTAGCGAGTCTCTTATTTTAAACCTTGGCGGACGAATGGACTTTTAGTTATTTCAGCTATATATTATATGAACGTATATAAGGTATAAATTATACCACGTATTGCACGGGTTGCTTCCCATAACGGTTAGTCAACAATGGTCCATGTATCACCCAAAACGGCTTGGTTTTAAGTAGAAGCATACAACCTATCAAATTGTGTGTTATATAAATCTAAATATGAGAGTAAAATTGAAGTATTAATAAACTTAAAGCTAAGAACATTATCTGTATTCTGTGCTTAAACGTATTTGCTTGTTTTCGATTAGGTACTTAATTGTTATGCGAGATATGATCATTTTTAATTTGTGATGTATTTCACTAACCTATACTATAAATATCTTGCTTAAATATTTTTAAAAAATTACTTCCACTCGTTTTGCAAGAATTACGGAAACGAATCGGTCGATTACACATTTATTCACCATGATGTATTGATGTATCAGCGTTCAAGAAAAATATTCATCCCGTTTTCGTGGTTTTTGTTATTCGTATATAATATTATTTGTATTGAAGATACGTAGGGACGTGGCCGTGGGGTTGATTTTAAAATTACTGGCAATTGGTCTGGAGCATAACAATCTTACGTGGGAAATGTGACCTACTCAGTTAATGTATATATATATATGGGATGATGAGGATATCGTTGTAACGTACTTAAGCGCGCTCGGTTAAGTTTCCACAAAAATGCGAGAAAAACGATACCGCGAACGTAACCCGATGCCTTTGTCTGACGCGTGTAATCGTCGATTGTTTTCTACACGAACCTTTTTTTTATACTCCCCTCTCCCCACACGCACGAGGGTGTATTTTCCTTTCGTTTATTTTTATTTTTTTTATCGTCGCGTTCTCTCACCAAAGGTTCGCAACGGTCTTTTTCTTGTCGGTTGAGCGTCCGAGTTTGTATCGCACTGCGCCGATTTCTATACTACCGATGCTAGGTGTACACAACGTTTTATTTTAATTTTATTTTTTACGAATATTTTGAAACTGTTTTATTTTCTTGGCTCGCACCGGTAACGGCGGCGGCGTCGGTATGTAAAGAACGCATCAATTGCTCACATTTCTTGTAGGCCCTCGCCACCGCCGTCGCCATCGTCGTTATCGTCGTCAGCGTAGAAGTAGTAGTAGTACATAATATGTGTACATTAGCCTATAATACGGCATTTGTATCAATCTAAATTTATTAACAGAACCAGTTTAGAGCAATAAAGACCAATTGCTGTTTGTCCGACGTCGTTTCCTCTTAACCCGTTCCGCAGACGAATGGGAATATATACTCGAAAAAAAAAAATTAAAATAATAATAATAATAATAATAATAAAAGATGAAAACGGTAACTGTGAGGGAAAAAAAGAAAGAATTTGTAGACGATGAAAAAAGTATGTATTAATAAAGAGTTTAACGCGCATATGCGGGACTCGACAATTTAGCAATCAAACACAATAGCTGGTTTTAATGAACCGCTTTCGGACGATTTACTGTTTGCCCTAAGGTCCCATGTGATTGAGGTTAAACCGATTTTATTCAAATCAAAACCCGGTCTAACTAGATCATATATATATGTAGATATAATATATAACATAAATCATTACAATCTCAAAAAAAAACATTCACTCGTTAATTCCGCTAGTGAATTAGTCTTAAACGATCATTGATTACTGCACTGCCATGCGTATATATTATAATAATATAACAACTGCTATAGCTATTGTAACTGCTTAAAATACTAAAATATGTTTGATTTATATTTAATATTAAAAAATTATATACAATAATGATTAATGATGTACACAATAGTACGAATAGTTAGATCCTACGATATGATACGATTTAGAAACAACTCCCGTATACTGCAGTATAGCCTTATATAGGTTTATTTGTTTTTACTCTTAACTATATAATTATGCACAACTGCACAAGCATCAACATTTCACAGTGTCGCATTATTTTAAATAAGGTAAAAAAAAAATCATTAATACTTATTACTTTTTAGTCATTAGTAGGCATATACTTTTTATACATTTTTTTTCACTATTGTATATTTTGTTGTCGAAGAATCTAAAATTTTATGTCACGATCTTTCGCAAATAAATGTTTACAGAAATATTTATACGTACACAACGTCGTGGGATCTCATGGTTTGTGGCAAACAAACAAAAAAATAAAACTCATATAATTTAAATTATAATAACAAAACACGCAGTGAATTTGTTTAACAAATACTTCTACAAAAGTCGTGTATTTTTTTTTTATTTTGTTATGTACCTATATGCCGTATAAAAAATTCAAGAATCTCGAGAATGGAAATAAGTTCGAATGTTCGATAGTATAATATTTTTAGATTTTATGTTTTTGCTGTTACGTACTAAAACACGTTATCGCCGGCCAAAAATAAAAAATAAAAATCGTTCTGAAATATTATTTCGCAACCCTTTGCAAGCATTAAAAAACATGTTTACAGTATTATTATAGGTACATATTTCTAAAACGACTAATTAGATCATTCTCATAAACGAAAGGAAAAAATATTGGGTGGTCTTTATGCAAAGCCAGTACAATTTAACAACTGTCCTTAGGTTAGGCATGTATAATAAGAGTGTCAATATTGTGTATTTTATAAAGTCATTTTATATAATACACAAATATAAATTATAGTATTATACACCGTACATAATGTTAATTATATTATAAATGTGCACACAAGCGGCTGCAGGGAGCGTAATACACATACGCCATACACTCTTATTATACCACAAGCTATCGTTTACATGTCATCCTTACAACCAGCGCGAACCTTGTGTGAATTGAAATCGAGCAAGTGTAAACAGACACGGGTGGGGCGCAAGAAAAAAAAAGACACGCTTGTCACTCATTTGACTGGGGGGTGTGTTTTTTTTTGTGTCATTCCAGCGTTTTTCCCGAAAAAAAAAAATGATATACATTCGTTTTTGTGTGCGTATAATATATAATATTATATATAGTGTATACGAAACACGTGTACCTTTAAACGAATCCCCATATTTCTTGCACCCTCAAAGCGCCACCGCTGCCACTGCTGTACACTACGACCGCTCACCTCGAGAGACGACCGAACATTATCTCCGGTATGACTTTTTCGACTATTGTTTTAATAAGTATATATTATTATATACGAAAAGAAAACGTATACACAAGACGTATAAACACTAACATTAATAATAATAAAACAATAACCGAGCACATATAAACAATGGAGTGATTTATCGGAATCCCCGCGACGTATGTTTTGATTATGCTTGAAGAATTTTCCCAGCGTACATAATATACAATGCAGTCGGTGAGTTTTATACTGGAGAGATGGAGGGGAAATCCATTATCAATTGGTAAAAAAATTTTCTTTTTATTGATAATTTTTCGATCGTCTGACGTCGTTTTCTCGTCGGCCGAATTTATTCTATAGGTATTTTATACCTGTATATATACAATTATTATTGTGTACACGTACATGGTACATCTCAAAGTTTATATAATCGTATGCATGTACATTATTTAACAATATATAGGTAGGTGTAGGTATAGGTAACTGCAGGTAAGAGTTAATAGCGACTAGCGAGGATTTTACAATGTGTTTATTATATTATGTAATAAAAACAGAATAAGCTCTAGGATTACTTGAGTGATAATATTATAGTTTTAAAATGCATTGGAGTGGTACTGTGTGTGCCAGTACCTATATTAACTCTAAGCGTATAGTAATGTGGTCGCCATTCAAGTATTCGTGCAGCCGGAACTGCATTATTTTTTTCGTATTTTTATAAACCGTTTCTTCCGACGAAGTGGTGTGATTTCCCACCTCCCCCAAATGCTTAATTTTTTAGACATTACCGTCACGCACAATCGTTTTTGTCTTCTCTCCGTACGCGTATATTATTTATACATTTTATTAGCTATACAACAGCGATGTATATAATATAAAAAAGAAGAATACCCACCAAATACTATACTTATATTATTATCCGTCGAGTTAATTAAAAAATGTCACGTTAGGATATTTTTTTGCGCACGTACGCATCTACGGCGTATCACGGGCGGGCGCCTGGCTTATAAATAATAATAATATATTATTATATTAACAACCCGAAAGAATAATAAAAAAATAACGCATTCTTCACGTCGTCCGGCACGTACCTATAGCAGTCACCGTAAGTACATCGTAAAATGTCGCTAATTGTTATCGGCTAAAAATAATAATGTGCGTAGGTATATGATAAATATATATAATAATATATGTATTATTGGATAAGTGGCTCGCGTACGACGGCCGGTAGATTTTTAATTATTCTGTTAGTATGCTATGGGCGCGTTTCCT